CCGGCCTTGCCCTGCCTTTCGCCCGCCGCTGGCCTGCGTTGCGTAGCTCTCCCACACGCTTCGATGAAAAGGCGAAGTAGTTTGGCAACTGCTTGGGTCGTTTTTCTTTGGCGCACCCTCGGCTTTTTGTCCGCCTGTTCGCCAATCCAGTCGCGTCTCTCCGGATCGGTGGAGAAGAGTAAAGCTCAAAGTAAGCAGAGGACAGCTTTTTGCCATGGAAACTAAAGTTGCTAGGGGATCGCTGCTCTGCCACGGTGTGCTCAGAAGCTGCGATCCTGCATCCCGCATGTTCCCAGGCATCTCCGGTTTTGACAGTGAAAAACTTTCAAAGATAAATCACTTTCTGTGGCCAACATGCATCTTCTGAGCTCATGCATAATGCAGATTTGGGTAACAGTGATTCTCTTTTTCAGTGAAAGTTTCCCAACATTTGAGCTTTCAGTTTCTCAGCCATAAAGGTGAAACAAGTACACATCAACACTCAGAGGACATAGCTACTGCAATATTTATTCATCCTGCGTAAACTGATGCTATGACACACATTTCCCTCATGTTTATGGAGAACCGTTTTCTCCCACCATACTCTGACTGTTTCAGTTCCTCTGCCTCATTCCTATATAGCCGGAACCGGCACTATGTTTCCACTGCAGCTGAGGAAAGAGACCATCTTAGGCTAAATTGCCAGGCTGCTTCAGTGAAGGGTTGGGAAGCCTTCTCTCTTGTCTCTGAGGGACAAAAAGTAGGAAATTATCCATCATCATAAGGGCAGGAGTTTACACAGAGAAGAGTATGTGCAGTAGGACAAATGTAATGGAGTCCTTGAAAAGAGTTAATGATGCTGGCTGCATCTCATCAGTTCTTTTTTTTTTCCTCATGTTAAAAGGTGATGCTACTTTATGCTCTCACAACTCTTGACCAAAAGATCATTCTTCTATTTTGCTTCATGTTCAGCCTGGCAAGCTCTTATTTGTCATTTGGCTCAAATTCCTGACCACAAACATCTATTAGTATTTTAAAATCCATGTGTAATGTAAGTGATTGCAGGCTGTGTCATTCTTATAGGCGAAGTCTTCATCAAGGTATTAGAAACACCAAACCATGCTGTATCTCTCTTCACAAATAAGTGTATGGACAATGCAGTTAATGCAAGATAAACATAAATATGTATTTATAGCAATTTCTGGAAGTCAGTTGACTTTTATCACATTACATTGAGTTTCCGTGAATTAATTTCAGTATAATACAGTTACCAGTTCACATTTGGCAGTGTGCTTCGTTTGCTTTCCAGAATTCTGAAGAAACAAAGCAGCCCTAAAATTGTCTTCAGTACCTTGAGTGGCAGCTGGAGCAATGCAAGTGAGCTTCAACAGCATAGATTATCTGGTCATACTAGGTCAGGTCCTTCCTTACCTGGTCAAGACCTTACGACCTTCCCACTTACACCTGAGGAGAATACCTCCCCTTCTGCTCCTTGTCTGGTGCTAAATATGCTTACCTGAGTAACCTAAGTTGGCAGGAAATTAAACATAATTTATTCAAGATCTAAATGGGACCCGAGAGAATGATTTTGGCTTTGGTTGGCTTCTTTATTTTCTTTTTTTTTGTGATGTGCAAAATGTAACGCTTGCTTAATAATAACCTGAAGCACTTCCAGGTACATGGACATAAACTATTATTATGTGTTACCCTTGAGGTCGATCTTATCTGAGTAAGCCTGTTTATGAGAGTTGAGGCAGTTACGATAAATTGCATTTTGCTTCATTGGTGGTGTGTAGTCTTATACTGAGATTAGGTACAGTGAATTCTGGGTTCAGCTCCAGGTTCTGTACTAATTTAAGATGATTTTGCGAAATTCTACACACAGTTCCTCTCTCTCTTCTCCTGCCTATCTGTGGAAGGGGTGAAGATAGCAGTTACCTGCTTCCATGACAAGTATGATGATCAAGGAGCTATTGGAAAGGGTCCAGAATACTATTTTTTCTAGGTTAAGCTACCTCTCATTTTTACCGAATATCGTTTTGTTACTCTTTCTTTGAATTGTGATGTTTTCCATGATTTCTCATGGGAACCTTTGAAACATACTTTGCTGACTGCTATTATCTTAGTTGACTCTATAGATGATCTTGCCATACTCTCATTTTATTTTAAGTTATTTATATGAGAAAAGATATCTATTATCAGACAGACAGAACTCTGTTTTTATGAAAACGTTTCAGTGCTTGTCCTGTGGAAGATGGCAGGTAGCTATTGAAAAAATGGGTGCAGTGAAAAAACAGGACTTCTATTCCCCTCTTTTCGGATGAGGAATAAAGAGAAAAAGCAGAAAATCCCAGGGAAACCAAAAAGAACTCTTTTTTACAAGCTGGATAAGAACAAGAGCAAGCTTGGTCTAAAAGCAGAATAACTTTCAGCATTTTCCTGCAAGGGTTTAGTTTATATACTTAGATCCATATAATTATTTTTTTGCCTCAAAAAAGTAATAAGAATCAAAAGTTTACAGCATTGTAAAAGACCATAGTAAAAGTGATAATGTTTTCCATCTATTAGCTGTAGTGGGAAGCATCAGGATTAGTGCCATATGCATTTGCCTATATGCAATGCCCACCGAGTAGCAACTTTAGTTTGGTAAGTTGCAAGGTCACCCATTCCTGAAGGGCAAAGGGGCTGCATGGCTACAAGACAGAGGGGTGGATTGGGAGGTCCTAGTTACAATGAGCACCTGAAAACTTCCTTTTTTCCCCCTAAGTGAAATTGCAAGGGTTTGCAATCCAATGAACTATGTGAAGCTGATATAAATTGAGCTGTGACATTCTGATGCAAGTACTCATTAATATTTCCCATTGGGCAAAGACTTTTTGAACTCTTTAAAAAGAAGACAGTCAGCTTAAATAATACTGACCTGTTGCTCAAGCCTTTTTAGGGGTTAGTATTACTTTAATGAATTCAGTAGCATCAAACCTATGCAAGCACATTCAGGCCTGGGACCTGCATAGTTATATCCAAATTTTGTGTATTAGGAGAACTTCTGATGAAGTGGAAAGAATGAGGAACAATGTCAGCACTTTTCAGAGTAGATGAAATTTTAATTTTAATAAAGCCAGTGTGAGCTTGGGCATTGACTTCTCCTGTGGAGCCACAATTTTGCTACAAGTTTAGTGTTTGCATTTCGTGCTTTCTGGAGAGCAGGTCACCATGCTGGAAAGCATTCTATCCGTTTCATTTTTACTTATCCATGTTTAAGTATATAGAGCTTCAGTCTGGCTAGGACTTATCTTTGTCCATTTCCCATGGCTATGTATGTTCTATCTGTGCCTAGTCACACAGTTCAAAGGCTCAGACAAAAAACAGAGATTAAAAAAAAACTTACTCAACGGTTTGGAAAACTTGTATAGGTTACAAACTCGAGAGGTAATATCAGCCTTTGAGGGATGCTGGCTTCTGTTACCTGATATGGTCTGCTTTTTTCCATCTCCGTGGAAATCAGGTAGCACATTAGTGTGAATGATGGGGACTGGGAACTCCACATATAGGAGGGAATGGACCCAGCAGCACCTTTAGGCTGTGCTGTGCCAAGATGCTGAGTGCCCTGGGTTCACAAGAGCTGAGTCACTGCACACAACTTTACCAGGCAAATTTTTACGTGGTTTGAAAAAAAAGTGAAGGAGAAGAGAGGTCTCTTCTGAGCTGCTTTTCTTTGTGTTGCATAGAGTGCCTGTAGCCAGATTTGCTCTCCTGCAGCATCGCTAACGAGGTATGTTTTTTATGAAACCTCTGATTGCAGGTAGGAAGGATGAGCTCCTATGCTGACATCTGCGGGTCTAAGCAAGCACAGGGCAGCACTGAGGGAGGATACCAGCGCTACGGAGTCCGGTCCTACCTGCATCAGTTCTATGAGGACTGCACAGCTTCAATTTGGGAGTATGAGGATGATTTTCAGATCCAGAGATCACCTAGCAGGTGGAGCTCTACGTTCTGGAAGGTACTGCCCATTGCTGGTTACTGCAGAGAGAAACTCCTCCATGTCGAGATTTTTCACAGGGAACTAATGATTTTAGGCATTCATCCAGGAAGGCCTTCTGATGCTCAGTTTTCAGTGAGATGAGTGAGTAACCACCCCCCCCCCAAAAAAAAAACAGGGCTTCTTTACTGAGGCTTATTAGGTTCCAAGGGAGGTCTGAGGTCTTTGGATCCTCTAGTTTCTCTCTCAACAAGGAGCCAAGTCACTGAAACATCCAAAGTCAATAGTCTTGTCTGGGAAACCCTGCCTATAACACAAACGGGTAATTTACCCTACCCACAATAATCTCTTCAGATTATGAGGAATAACAATGGTAGATTAAGAGCAGTAACACTAGATCAAGGAGACAATAAGATCTCCACTTAAGGTTAGGAAACTTAACAGAATCAGTGAATAACTGAGGTTGGAGTGGGCCCTTGGAGGTCATCTAATCCAACCCCTCCACTCAAAGTAGGGCCATCCTGTATAAATCAAACCTTGTGCTTACCGTTGAAATGTGCTAGAAATATTTTGTGATCAGCTCATGCCATAGCAACCTCCTCCTAATCCTGGCAAAGGAATGACGTTTCATGGAGAAAAAGCAAGTGATGGATATGACATAGACCATGAGCAGGGGCTGAACTGTTGGTGCTAATCATCACCCTATGAGCTAAAGAAATAATTAATCACACAGTACTACAGTTAAATTGTGATCCTCTCTGTGACTGGCCCTATGGACAGGAGATGCTGCATAGAAGCACATGCAGATGCATGTTCCATTGTTTCCAGAAATGCCAATATACATATAGATTTATATAAAGATGAGTTGTAAAAACATAGTTTCTCCATATATCCTAGTTCTAGTAAGGCCACATAGAAAAATACCAATGACAGAAAAATATCAAATTTCTGTTAGAACTGAGAGTTATTCCTGCAGACACTGTAAAACAGTGCTTTCCAGGACCACTTGCTAACTAAACACTACAATGCCGTGTTCATTATTAAATTGTTCTCTTTTACAGGTGGGACTCATCTCTGGGACGGTTTTTATGCTCATAGGCTTGGCGGTTCTTGTAGTTGGTTTTCTTGTGCCACCGAAAATTGAAGCTCTTGGAGAAGATGATTTTGTTGTGGTCGATAACCATGCCATTCAGTTTAATGGGTCCCTTGATATATGCAAGCTGGCAGGGGCAATCTTGTTTTGTATTGGAGGGACCACCATGGCAGCATGTCTGCTGATGTCTGCTTTTGCTAAAAGTTACTCCAAAGAAGAAAAGTACCTCCAGCAAAGATTTAAAGAGAGAATAGCTGATATAAAAGCCCATGCAAAGCCAGTCACAAAAGCGCCAGCACCAGGAGAATCAAAGATACCTGTCACTTTGTCCAAAGTTCAAAATGTCCAACCGTTATCTGAAACCTGACCCTCTCCATTGGTTTTGTTTCTCACTTGCACATCACTTTACTGGAAAATATCAGCTGTTGTTGGCATACATGCTAGTAATTACAACATCAAGTGCTCTGCTATACAAACGTACAGCTGATTGAGAACCTGCTCCAATACAAACTTAGGATTGGAAAAAGTGAAATTATATGATTAGAGCTGTGACCAGTACGTTCAGTGGATTCAAACATTTTAATCTATGTTGAACGGAGAAATCCTTGCAACAATGTTTAGCTGTTTAGCTTATCAGACAGTAATCCTAGAGAATATTGGGTGTGGTTATAACAGCTGTATTAGGAACAGCCTGCATCCCACTGTTTAAAGTTTATATGAGTTGGCCTTTTTTTTTTCATTTTATTTTGTTTTCTTCTTGCTTTTAAAATATTGTTTGGTCTTACTTTTACTCCCTGGTTCTTCTGTCCAGGAAGCCAAGATTCTGCCCTTGTAACTTGCACTTGCCCTCCTATCTCATTCTGTAGTCCGTAACGAAGTAATAATGCTCAGGCAGAACACAAATGACATTGGGTTGCCCTTCGTTTGTGCCCAGCACACTTCCCAGTAATGTTACTTTCTGGGAAAGGAAAATGGTATTTGATCCTGAGTTACAGTTAACCTTTGCAAAACTGCCACTTGGCTTTTAATCATTGCCACATTAGCAAAAAATGCAAAATAAAGATAAGGAATTCATATGGGAGGAGGAAAGGAACAGCATACTTCTGTGTCTTTGGTTTGATACTGGTTCCTTCATTATACTATATTATATTATGTTTGAAGCTCGTACAGATTATTTCGGTCTTGACAGGATGTGGATTAATAAGTGTCGTTTGACATGCCCAGGCCCTGTATTCTGTCAGTATATTAATCCCATGTTAGATGACCTTAACATACTTATCTAACGACATTTTGAAATGCTGTTTATATTTTTATAGGTAATAGAAAAAGTTATGCTTAACCAGATAATGTTTGTGTAAATGCTTACCTGAAGACTTGTCCTTTCACTGAGGAACCTTAATTCTTTTGTTACTTGGGGCAATTATTTCACCGTCTTAATCTATTGATTTAAATTAAACCGTATAAAAAAGATGTGACATTTGTATTCTCCAACAATATGTGCCACCTTATAGTTCTGTCTATTTTTTGAATGGATTGAATAAAATTCTAGGCCTGAGCCAATCATAGTTTTTGTGAAAAGTGTCTTTCTTGTCAAACAGGTTTTTCTACAAATCTAATATTTCAGTTCAAAAGTAGAAAACAGCAGTCAAAACTCATCATTTTCTTAATGCAGTCTGTGTCTTCAGATTTCAAAGGTGAGGAAATCACTTTAGCGTTGAATCAAGAAGATTCTAATACGCTAATGACAGGTATGTGGCAACAGCTATGCTCCTTTTCTTGCTGATACATTTCTTGGTCCCTGACTCACTTCAGACTTCCACAACATAAATAAACCAGAATGTTTATGTTTGGATGTTTTCCACTGAATCTGCAAAAATTATTGTGGATGACAACAGCATCACAAGCAGAATTTTCTTATTTCTGAACAGAAGCAAAACTGCCTACATTACAATTGCAGTGTCCAAATCTTAGTGCCAGTAAAGATGGACAATGAAGCGCTTGTCACAAGTACATGATTACATAGAATAAAGTGAAGTAGGTTTTGTTGCATCTGAGAAATTTTTTGGCACCCATAAATTAGAGGCGCAAAAGCGCATTGCACCCAAAACTTAGGAGTGTAACCTCTAGGGAAAAGCCAATGAAACAGTACTAAGGAGGGTAAAATGAGGAAACTGGTAAGATGAGCAGTTGTGTATGTTTATAAAGAAAGCTAGCAAGAATTTTCTTACTAAGGTAAGTACATGCCAGTGCTGCAACACAGGGAAGGGCTGTCGCTCGCTACTGGTTCTTAGTTACTCCAGGTAGAGAGGGTCTTTATCGCTTTCTTTTCAATTTGGGATGAATTTTGTTTACTACTTCTTCCTTTCACTGCTGTCAGATTATCAGTGTGTGGGCCGCAGAGAGTCAGGCCATCCTGACCTTTTCAATGCAATGTTTTTAATTAAAAACTGCACATGGAAAAAATGTGACATTTTAAGTTTTACAGTGAAGTTCACTGGAGGAGATGAGCATGATGGGTTCTGCATCTATTAATGAGTCCCATCTCTCCACCTACATTTCATCAATGCTATATTGGAAGTTTGATCAAAAATCCACTTGTAAAAGAAAGCATAGTTTGGGCTTGTTTATCCAAAGTAGCTATACAGATACACAGTTTGCCTTAAAACATGCACCACACGCACAGGCACATTCTCCTGCTAAAGATTTGTCCAGAGGACAGCTGACATAAAAAGTAATGGAGTTGATACAAGCACCAAGCATTTTGTCACATTGCGCATCGGTCGTGCTAAGCAGAGCATGCGTTGACATTGTGAGAAAGGGTGAGTCATGGCATTACCCAAGCGCTAAGGAAAGACAAACCCTCAAGGATATTACTGAAGCCTCCTGGGATAGGAAGTGTGTTTGGGATTTAGCAGCAGAAGAAAAGCTGGTGACAGTGTCGTGGCTAAAGTTACAGCATGCATTTCATCGCATTACACCCTTGTTTCAGTTGCTTAGAGCATTTCCAAAATTGAGAACTCCGGAGGCTGAAATCTTTCACAACAGACAATCTGTGCCAGACAGGGCTTTTAGAAACATTCAGTAGAAATGTTCAGCAAAAAGAAAAAAAAAATATGCTGTTACTTTCAAGAAGCCACATACTGGAAACTTTAAGTCATGTTAGAAACATTTTCTTGTAAAGTTTTACTCCTCCATCCTTTGGAGTAGGAACTCGAGCATCAGCAAAAGAGCAGCAGCGCTGTGTTTTGTGGCCATTCGCATGGAAAACTCATGCTTGTGGCCACCAGCTGGAGAGCAGCAAGGGGTAGCCGAGCTCACCGTGGACTTGCAGCGAGGCTGTGCACAGTCTGTCCCTGCACGAAGCTTCAGGTGATGGTGCCTACCCCATGCCAGGCCTGCAGGAACTGCCTGGGACCTCTCCTCCCAGCACTGGCTGCCAGCGTGTTTCCAAAGGGCATATTAATCGCCTCCCTAATGCAACTAAAGTCTGGCTTGAACAGCAGAGACCTTATTTCCACTCTCGAACCTCCCCACTCAACAGACTTCTTTCAGATTCTTCATGTCCGCCCTATTTTTCCCCCTTCTACTCTTATTTGGCTTAAAATTGCAATGTAACTCCTTGTAGCCCAACACTATTTTCTCTGCAATTGTGGTGAAAGAAATCACATTTTTCAGTCTGACTAGTAATCACTGGCTTAATTTTGATTAATGCATGCTCTCCTGATGGTTAGGTCTGCTTGCCTTACCACACTGCACAGCAATAGCTGCTCTTTAGCATCTGTTTCCCCCCGCCCCGCCCAGCTGTCTTGACCCCTTTATTTTCCTTTCATTCCCAATGCACAGTGAATCACAAACTAAAGCAGAGAAGCAGAAACGTCCCCTCCTCCCAAGCTGCCTGTCAGCAGATTTAATTCCCAGTTTCTGCTACAGCCTCAGCCTGCCATTTCCAACTGCAAGATTTCTAATCATATGCAAGTGCAAGCAAACCACTCTGCATGGAAAGAGCAGAGCGGGGAGGCTGCAACTTCCCAATCAGCAGCCAGAGGACAGAGAAGTTTGGTGGCAGGGGGAACAGCAGCAGAGCCTGAGCACAGGGGAGGCAACACAGCCCCCAGGGAAGTCAAAGCCAAAGGCAATTGCACAAGATTGCAGGAACCAAAGTTGGATGCACTTTCAGAGCAGCTCTCTGTCAAAGGACTAATAGCAGAGCAACAATTTTGGTAAAAGGATTAGCACCTCAGCTCATTGCGCAGCAACCGGTTGTCTTGCCATTACACAGCAGGCTGCTGGCTCAGCTCACATGTTGCGCACTAGCGAGACCCACAGCAGGATACAATGAATGTCCTTGGGTAGCCCTTGGAGGCACATCCTCAGTCTCTCCCCATCCCACTGCTTCAAGAACCAGTGTCTTCATAGTGCATTACCCTCCTCCAGAGGGGTGGGGTGATGGCCCACGCGTCACTCACAATAACTGCGTTTGGGTTCTGCCAGGTCATTCCCAGGACATAGTTTGCTCCTGAGTGACATGATCACAAATGGGGAGAGTGCATATAGTCTTCTCCTATTTCAGATGTTTAGGGACTTCATGTGCTCCTTCAGGGGACTTCTGATGTCTGGGCAAACAATCCACCCACACCCTTATTTTCTTCAGCTCTTATCTGGACACAAGGCAGACCACATAGTGCGTGTTTCCTGCATTAATACACTTGATATACATTAAGCAGGACAAAGCTCAGTTTTGCTGTCAGATAATTTACAGAGGGCCTGTTCTGAAAATAATCTCTGCCATTTTAACAGTAAGTCAGGCAAATATTTCTAATGGACAAGCAAACAGAAGAGAAAGAATGCAAGTAACTGCTTCTATTGTTTTGTCTAATCATTTGCAGCTGTTTTTTTGAAGGCCAACTTTTTCCATAATTTATCATTTATGGGTTTTTGCAAATAAAGATGGAAGGTCATTTTTAAACACTGCTAATAAGCTAGTCAATTTAATGATATGCTAGAATATGCTGCTCTGGCAATTACAGTTTCAAGACTCACTGCTTTCGTGTGTTCCCTAGCTAAAGGCACCCTCCAGTCTGATACTACAAATAATGCATCTGTTCGGCTAGAAAGAAGCCTTTCTGGAATGTCATTATTTCCCTACGTCTGGTCTCATAATGGCTTCAGCATCTGCTGCCCTTTCTCTCTGTCTCCTCCAGGAACCTCATGCCCTGACATTTCCTTCTTAAGCCTCTGCATCTATTTTCAGAGCAGCAGTAAGGGTGAGGCAAAAGGGAACCCTGCCCCAGGCACATCTCTGAGGGGGCTCGTGCCTGCCTGAAATCACTGCACAGAAGCAGCAGATCTGCAGCACGAATAGGCAGGAGATGAGGGGACAGAGATGAGCCTGAAGGAACCCCAGCGGAGAGCCAGAGGGGAGGAAGCTGCCAAAAACGTAGCATTTCAAGCATCAGTGTTGATCATCTGTCAATGAATATTGAAAGCACTGAAAACCTCTAAAACCTATGACCAGAACAATGTAAAAAATACAGTGGCTGAAATCTTGATGGAGGCAGACATTTTTAAAAAAACTTTTAATGCCACTCTTCCTGTCCACTCCAAATGGCCAGGCAAGCACGAGGACCTTATTCTTGGACAGCTGCATTGCCCCTAGCCCCTAGGATACGTTTTCCCTTTAAGCTACTATGAAAAAGAAATCTCTTCTGCTAGCTCTTGCTCAGACTCAGTGCCCCACTCAAGCTGTCCCCTTGCAGGGGGGTTTCTCCTGAAACTGCAGCAAATACGTGCTAAGACAAAACCCCTCATGCTAAAGACTGCTGAGCACTTTCCACCATCTCCAGGAAGCATAGCTTACCAGAGAATCCCACAGTATCCATCGCATACAGGCTGGTTGCCTCTCTGGCCCCCTGCATTGTAAGGCCATAACCAACTGAGTACATCTGCATCTCACCATGCAATGCAAGTGATACACTTAGACCTTTCCATTTGCTGGTGGAAGCAAGAGGCTTTCAGAAAAGTAGGCATTTATCTAACAGCAGTGTTAAAAATCATTTCGGCACCAAGTATGCCGAGATCTCCTACTCTGCTTCAGTTTGCCCGCTGAGACTCGTGCTTGAGAACACTCCACTGGGGAAAGGCTCTGATCCACACGAGCGGGCGGGATGCTTTTCCAGGTGACAGCCACCACTACTCACACACACGGGCCCATCTGCAAGCATCAGATGGGTTTGAGGGGGAGATCCCCAGCCAAAAGCACCCAAGGGGTGTAATTATCCTACCTTCCCTGCTCAAGGATAAGCCACTTAACAACACTATGGTCAAGATGCCTTGAGCTGATGAACCCTTCAGGCATCTTGTACTAGGCCTGGCGGAAACAGAGAAATAGCCTTCACCAGCTTCTCTTTCTCCACGGAGAGAAACTGCTTTTAAACAGTGCTAGACCCTGGCTTACTGAGTTAATCCTGGCGGGTGCTGAGGGGTGTAGTGGGAGCAATAAGGGGATGCTTACTTCATAAAGCAGGTGAAGGTGTAAAGCTCAGGTTTTTAATAGCGTTTTGCTTTT